ATAATGGTGTTAGTTAAGTTAGTTTTACAACTGATGGTAATAAATTAGAATATGGTAGTTATGATAAATATAAAAGTTTATGGGATGATAAAAAAAGGATAATAATATTTAGAATTCGAAGATTAATTAGAATGTTATATATTAAATTTGATTATATAATGATGGTACTATATTAGAATATGGGAGTTATGATAAATATATAAGTTTATGGGATGTTAAGAAAAGATATAAAAAGTTCGAATTAGAAGGTAATTAGTATAAAGTATATTAAGTTTGATTATATCCTGATGGTAATAAATTGGCATCTGGTAGTTATGATAAATATATCTATTTATGGGATGTTAAGACAGGATAATAAAAAGCAAAATTATGTGGTCATACTAGCACTATTAATTCAATCTGTTTCTCGCCTGATGGTTCTATATTGGTATCTGGTAGTGATGATAAGTCTATCCGTCTATGGGATATTTGGTCAATGTAATAATAAAACAAAATTAGGTGATTATACTGACAGTTGTAATTAAATCAGTTCTCCTATTGATGGAACTCTACCAGCCTCTTATATTGATGATAAATAAAATTGTTTATATGATATTAAGACAGGATAATAATAAGACAAGTTATATGGTCATACTAGCATTATTAATTCAATCTGTTTCTCTCCTAATGGTACTATATTAGTTTCTGGTAGTGATGATAAGTCAATTCGTATATGGGATTTTAACACAGGGCAATAAATATTATAATTCGATGGCCATACTCGTGGAGTCCTATCGGTATGCTTTTCTCCTGAAGGTGATATATTAGCATCCGGTAGTAGAGATATGTCTATCCGTTTATGGGATTTTAAAGCAAAAAAATAACAATTCAAATTGGATGGTCATACTAATTCAGTTTGGTCAGTATGTTTTTCTCCTGATGGTACTTTTTTAGCATCTGGAAGTGTAGACAACTCTATTCGTTTATGGAATGTTAAGACAGGATTTGAAAAATAAAAATTAGATGGTCATACTGATTCAGTATGGTCAGTCTGCTTCTCTCCAGATGGTTGTACAATAGCATCAGGTAGCAAAGATAATTCTATAAAAAAAATGGAATGTTAAGACAGGATAATTAAAAACAAAATTAAGTGGTCATACTAACTGTGTGAATTCAGTCTGCTATTCTCCTGATGGTACTTCATTAGTATCTGGTAGTGTTGATAAGTCTATCCGTTTATGGAATGTAAAGACAGGACAATTAAAATCCAAATTGAATGTTCATAGTGATTCTGTTAATTCAGTATGTTTTTCTCCTGATGGTACTTCATTAGCATCTGGTAGTGCAGATAACTCTATATTGTTATGGAACTTTAAGACAGGACACTTAAAATCAAAATTATATGGTTCTAGTAATTGTATCAATTCAGTATGCTTCTCTCCGATGGGTACTACAATAGCATTTTGTAATGATGATACATCTATCAATTTTTGGGATATTAATATGGAAAGCGAAATCAAATATTTTAATTAAAATTGTGAGGGTATGTCAACTTAAATGAAAACTCTCCCTTTATAATATAATCCTTTTTCAGAAAGTTGTATTTATTGTAATTATTCTTATAGTAAACGCAATATCTATTCTTCTTATTTTTAAAAAACCGATATTTTAAGCCCAAAATGCCTTAATTTTACAAGGAGAATTTATAAATTATTATGGTGTAGATCTAAAATAATATTTGAAAACTAAAGGGAGTTGTTTTTTGGAGAATTAAGTAGAATTTAAATTAAAGTGATATATGATTATTTCATAAAAATAAATATGATTTTTAAATATAGTTGAAAAAACTACAAGTACAAACACAGCTTATAAGTGATCTAATCTGGAATAGCTGGTTTATAACTTAGCTAAATCCTTCCAGCAGATTCTCCAGACTTTCTTTATATTCTCGAATTTTAAAAGTATTAGTAACCATTCAAAATCTTTGTAAAAATAACTGATGACGAGGAATATACTAACTATTCAATTATTTATTTCTTAAAAAATACAAATACAAATAAATTAGAAATTTTGAATTATAAAAAAATAGAATTCAATTAGAAACTTTTTAACTAAGCAGGCGGAAGTGCATTACCTCTAATAATCGAAAAATGGGAACAGAGAAAAAAAGGAAGATCTTAGAGGATTACTTTAAAATAATAGAAAAAAGGGCAAATCAAACGACTAAGCACAAGGGATAGTAAAGA